ATAGAAAATAACGATAATAAAGTTAGGGATAGAAAGTAGCGGAAGTGAAGTTAGAATATATAACATAACGGTTACAAAGTTAGGGAATCATGAATAAAATAATAACAGTAACATAGAACTATGAAATAAATAATTACGGTAACAAAGTAGGTACTAATGAAATAAACATAATGAAATAAGGTAACAAAAGAAATGAAAAATGAATTAAAAACGAAATGTAATGGAATATATGAGGTGAAAAAACGTAAGTGTAGACATAAAATAAATGGAGCGACGTAGTTGCTAAAATATGATGGCTTAGTGCGCTAAAAGAAAGTGAGATAATTAATGAAATAATTTATAATAAACTTTGAAGTAGAAACTAAAATTTAATATTTTTTAAACCATGCCATAACGAGAGGTTTGCCAGTGTGTGAAACTTATTTGCTACACAATACCCATGACCCAGAGGAAATGAAACGGGAATCCTGATGATGAAAGTTGTTGGTTTTCATCGCATGACGGGGGATGACAGGAGGGAAGATAGTGTACCTCCATCCAGCTTTATGACGGAGCTCCAGTTTTATCGGCAAATGTTGACTGGGACAAAACATTTGCAGGATCGCATTGCCGAGGCTATTAATAAAGGAACAAACCTATCTAATAATAACATGAATAGAATTGTAAAGAGAACATTTTCATCGCGAGATAAACGCATAATTAATTTGTTCACGGATAAACAGGGCAGACCTATCAATAACGGACCATCGATTCAATAACAAAAACTAAAAAAATGAAATTATAAAAATAAATTAGTACTTTTATTAAATATGAGATATTAGATTGTAACAATTTACAATAGTAAATATTTTTTAATAAATGTAATTATATATTGTATAATTACGATAGATAATAATAATTATTATTAATTATGTTTATAAAATATGTCCGTGAAACTAATTATCAAAAACATTTTTTTTTTAAATCCCCTTAAAAATTGAAAGCACTTGATAAATTAATCACTGTCAATTAAATAAATAATTTAATTTAACATAATTACAATTAATTCTCTCTTTTATATATACATTTATCTCATGCGCTGCGCGGTGTAATAAACTTACTTCTAATCACATTTTTTCAAATGAAAATAAATTATTCTATTAAATGTTTCATAGAATTATGAAAGTTGGAATTGTGCAATGGATCTTATTATCGTTATCCCCTGCTATTCCTATTTTTTTACTTTTCTTATTTATCTTCGGTTATAATTTACTTTAAAACTTCTTTTACCACCTGCCTTCCTAAAGTTCTATTTCCAATAAGAAATGTGTCTGAAATTGAATTAAAATGTATGGAATTAGTTTGGGCGTCATTATTAAATATTACTTATAGTTTACTTTTGGTTTATTCTGAAACTATTTTATCAATAAAATATCTTGCCTTTGTTATTAGCTGAAGACGGCAATGCGTTAAATTTGGGATCCTCTATCTTTGACCGATCGCAATGTTACAATGGAAAATCCTAAAATCAAACCTACTTCAACAATAAATCACAGGTATCCTACGAAAACCTAGAAGAGGTGAACTATCATTAGTGTTGCCCAAAATCGGTCTTGGTCTTGCACTTCGCAAGACCAAGACCAAGTGCGCCTAACTGTTGCAAGACCAAGACCAGGACTGGTAAAAAAAATCGATTATTTTAATAAACATTGAGGCAAAATAGTTACTAATACTTGACAATCTTAGTTATTATATGTTAATAATTGGTAAAACCAATATACTTTTGTATTAAACTTCTCTAATTTTTTATTCGGGCTTAGTTAGGTTTCTCCTATCTTAAAAATTACAGTAATATCTCTATAGTCATAAGCTAATAAGTAACTGCAAGACCGTTGCTAGAGTCTTGAGCAAGACCAAGACCATGACCAAGACTGAGTTTGCAAGACCAAGACTCGTCTCGCTCTCGCATTTGAGCAACACTAACTATCATCGTGCAACGTTTCGGCACGCTCATGATTGGATTTCAAGGGCTCCGGGAACCAATTTTCCTAGGCATACCATCATATATATATATTTATTTTATTGATTATTTGTTTATTGATAAATATTACAATCTGTCTCAATAAAGGACATTTATAATAGAGTTCTGAGAGCACATTCACACCATATTAAAAAAAAAACTAATTTCAAATAATATAAAGCTATAAAAGAACAAAATAAAATTTCAAAGTGAAGGAAGAAAATATAAATAATAGTAATAATAGAATGAAAATAAATGAATAAAATAGAATTAAAATTATCTTTAAAAAAAGAAAGTAATGAAAATAAACATCTTAGATGCAGGCATACCTATTTACACTATTTACAGTCGGCCATGGGAACTCCGAACCATACTTATCCCCCCACATGTGTAGGGAAAGCAAGGCTTCAGGAGATCCCTGCGCTTCTTCCTCAACTATTTCACTGGTATTAAAAGCCAGCGGAGATTGAGTAAGGGCTATAACAACGGACACTCATGACTTGAGTGGAGAATCTGGCCATTGCCAGAACTCCAATATATACATGTTTCAAAAGGTCACGGGGCAACTGCCATTTTAGCCTGCGAGGAGCATTGTAGGGATGAGTGGTGCTAGATAGGGATTGTGCTACAAGATTGGGGTGATGGGTAAGGTTCTGATGAAATTTGGAGAATTTGTCTTGGATAAGATCAAGAATAAATGGAATATTAAGGTCACTAATGATTAAAAAAAATATATAATTTTTTTTTCTTTGTCACTAGGAAGGTAATGTTTCTTTAGATGTATAATTGTTAGGAAATAATAAACCATTGTGAAATAATTTGCAGAGTTTTCCGTTTATAATAACTCCAAAACTATACATATAACAAAAAACATTTCTATTCTTATTTCTGAAAATAATATATAGCTGGCCATAACGTCGGTTAAGTTCCTGTCTTTTCAGTCTAGTATGCGGATTCCACGTTAGTCGTCTGTCTAGGAGAAAACCAAGGTACCGGGCTGTGTCAGAGAAGGGAAGCTGGATGGTATTAAAGTAAACTGGTGGACAGGAATTACGACGAAGGGTGAAGGTTATATGTTTACATTTGGATTCATTGACTTTGATACGCCATTTCTTGCACCAGTATTCAAACAAGGATAGGTGCCGTTGCAGGTTTATGGACGCTGTTTAAGGATCTGAGTTAGAAGATAGGATCGCAGTGTCATCAGCGAAAGTTGCCAGGAGTGTATCGGGATGGACGGGAATGTCAGCGGTATAGATGACGTAAAGGATGGGACTCAAGACGCTGCCTTGAGGAACTCCAGCCTCAATTGAAAACAGTTGGAAAATTCTGTACCACAGCGAACTCGAAAGGGGCGGTCGGAGAGGTAGGATTGGAGTATTAGATATAAGGACTGTGGTACATGGGATTTGAGCTTGAAGAGCACTCCGGAGTGCCATACCCGGTCAAAAGCTTGCGCTATGTCCAGAAATGCACTCGAGCAAAACTGCTTGTTTTCTAGGGCTGAGGATATGTGGTCAACAATTCGGAGTCCTTGTTGGACGGTAGAATGTTGGGAACGGAATCCGAATTGATGGGTAGGGATTTCACGAGAGTTAATAGGATTCTTTTCAGGAGGATCTTTTCAAAAATTTTTGAAAGAATTGGGAGTAGGCTAATTGGTCTATAGGATGATGTATTATTGGGAGGCTTGCCTGGTTTCAGGAAAAGGATGATGGTGGAATGTTTCCATAAGAGAGGGAAGTGGGTAGTTCGGAGGATACAATTGTATATATAGGTTAGAAATATGATGACTTTGGGTGGTAGTTGTCATAGGATCTGCGGAGTTAAAAGGTCGTATCCAGGAGATTTACGAGGAGTAATTTTGCGTAATAGGTATTTGACCTCAGAGGGATTTCCTGCTTTAGGTGGTAAGGAGAGTGGGATAGGTGAAGAAAGGAATTCTTTTACTTTTACTGTGTGGGTAGGATGAGATTCTAGATGGGGAGTGAAGGTATAGGAATGGTGCTTGGCAAATTCCTCGACTTTGTCTACATCAGACGCTGCCCAGGTACCATCACCTCGACGAAGTGGATGGGAAATATGATGGGATTTTAGGATTCTTTTGGTGGTATTCCAGAGGGAATTATCATAAGCAGAGAGTGTGGTGAGGTAGGAGTTGAATGATCGGGATCTGAAGGTGGCTAATTCTGGTTTTAATTTTTTACAGTGATAATTGTAGGAGTGGCGATCGGCGGGATGTCTGGTGCGTTACCATAATAATCTGGCACGGCGTTTTATATGGATTAGGTCAAGGAGGTGTTGAGGTAAATTGGGTTTCTAGAGGATTTTTGAGGAATGATCAGGAGAGGAAGCCGACCATACTGCTTCCTGGATTTTAGTCGTAAAGGAATGTACAGCATTGTCCAGGTTTTCGGAGTTTTTCTGGGTTGCTCTGAGGTCAATTTTATCGGAGAGGATTTGATGAAAGAGTTTCCAGTTAACTAGGCCTCTGATGAAGGACCATCATATATTAAATTCACCATTAAAATGCATCCTCGTCATTAAATATTATATAATGAATTTAATATTGTTAGTACCCAATTTTTCTTAGAACTATCAGAGAAAAACTTAATGGTGAAAATGACCATTAAGACTTGATTTGAGGATTCAACAAAGTCTTAATTCTCTAGAATACCAGTAAGCAATCAAGACATAGCAATGACAGAAAAAGATAAAGCGATTCAACGCGGATTAACGATAGAACACCTCACACCACCACTCTAAATAAGACTAAAACAATCGAAGTTGTACCGATGTTCAAATGTTAATGTTGATGCTGTTTTCCGAGATAACAAAAAAATATATGTATATTTTTGGGACATTTGCTCTTTTTAAAAAACAAAACAAATAATAAGAATTGGCAAATCAAGTGCAACCTCGATGTATAAATTAATAACGTTAATGTATCAATTAAAGTTAATATTTTTAAAAATCATTTATTTTTCTATTTCTATTCTAGAAGAGGAAATGGAGGATCCTCTACAAATCGACGGTCAGAACGCTCCGGTTGACTCAGACGATGAGGAGATGGTAATTCTTGATGGGCAGGTTCCTGAAGGTAGTACCAAACTATTTTCTAAAAATACTATACTTTTTCTAAAAAATAAATGCTAAAGTTTATATATCATTATATTCTCAAAACGTTAATTATTCAATAATCAACAAATAGGATTTTTGACCATTTCTCGTATCATTCTAAAGCTAATAAACGAAATTATTCTTTATTGATTAATGAGAATACATGCATGAAACATTTTATTTTATACAAATCTGAAATTTAAACAAGTGAAAATCAGATAAGATCATATGTGTTTTTTTTTTCATTATTTTTCAGTGTGCATCCCACACCTGGAGTTACATACATAAAAGTAACTTAATGAAAGTTGGAATTCGTAAATCAGATTCTATGTTGATTTCTGGAACATTGCTAAAGGGCGGTGATGGAATCAAAATTCTTTATATTATTAGATCTGGAAGACAGCATCATGATCCCAAGCTCTGCAATTCCTTAATGGGTTTTGGCTGCCTCAAGAGTTGTCCTCCATTTGTGTCACTCCTCAGCTTGTGAACATGTGATCCAGTTCCTCATCCCAAGAATAATGGCGTCATCACTAACTCCATCGATAGATGAAGATGAGATGGATAAATCTCAGCAAAGGTCTTCCCACTTTTCTTTTTCCACCCGGTTCCATACTGAGCAGCTTCTTTAAAGCTCAAGTCTTATCCATCCCTACAACGTGGACCACCCATCTCAGCCTTGCTATCCGGATATATTTCACTACATCTGGCTCCTTTTGTAAATTGGGAAGTTCTTAGTTATATCTAATTCTCCGTTTATTATTCTACTTTGAGGCCAAATATCTTCCAAATGACCTTCTTTCCGAAAACTTGCATTGCAGTCGTTGGTTCATGTCATTATCCGCAGTCACTTCCGATCGTAGCTATTTAAGCGTTTGAACTTTGTCAAAGTTGTATCTACCAACTTTGATGGTTGGGCCAGTTTAACGGCTGTCAGTTACCATTTACTTGTTTAAATCCAGGAGTAAACAATAGTTTTTCCATCTGGTGAGGAATAAAAAAAAAGTGAACGAAAAGGCTTTTTCTACACCCAATCATCAAAAGAAAAAGATATTAATTAATTGTACCCACGCCTTTCTGTATTATTAAAGCTTTGGGTACAATTAGTGAAGAAGAAGACAATGATACCAGAAATAACCGGAAGATTATTTGTAAAAAAAAAAGTCGTGATATGTAATCCTAGTATTTTGAAGAAACAAAACAGAAAGCGACTCATGTTTAAATTTAAAATTGATTGCACGATAGTACTAAATTTTATTTATTATAAAAAAATTTTCATGCAAAAGATAGAAATGGAGTCAAAAAATTATTATTAAAGTTCAGCTACATCAGTATATCAATTTACTATCATATGCAATAACAAAATGACATATATCACTATGTATGTATATACATGGCAGAAAACTAATTTATACTTTTTCGATTTAGGTTTTGGAAATCCTGGTACCCACAGGTACCAGATTCCAGACTACATTGTCCAGTGCCAAGTCCAGCAAGAAGGTAATACTCAGCCAAATAGTAATAATAATTATAAAGGCTCAGATTTATGTGAAACAAAAACCTTTGAAATATGCTTTAAAAATTACGATGATTTGCCATACGATAAGCAATCGAAAGTGTGATAATATGCAACTAAATAGTGAAATAATGTAATAAAGATAAAATATTGGCCCATAAATCGACAAGAAAAAATCTTTTTTTATTTATTTTAAGTTCTAAGTCATACTAACGAGGCTGGCAAATATAACTACTTTTTTGACCTATATATGTGTAGAAATAATTTACGAATATATATTATTCATAATAAAATTAAGTATTTCATACGTAACATCTTCATAAATGTAACCGATTGTAAACCAAAATAAATGTTGCTTCTTAATGTGCTAAATTCAAAAACTAAAAAGGTTTTTATGACAAAGGGGCTACACTAACAAAATAAGTAAATTCAATTTTAAAATATAGTAATTTATAACTAAGGTAATAATATATTTATAATTAGTCCTCATATAATAAAGAGTGACCAAACTCTATTTGGTTCTGATGATGGTAAAATATATTACGAAACGTTGAAATTAAATACTATGTGACAAATAAAGTAAATATATACAAGTTACGAAGAAAGTTATATTTGCAAATCTCATTAGTATCAACAAAAATAAATAATCCAGAAAACGAAATTTGAGGATAAATGAATGATTTCACTGTTTACGTTGTTCATATTTACGATTTTTGTATTATTTTAACTTCATTTATTGCTTTAACGTCCTTCTTATTGGGGACCATACAAGGAGGGTATAAATTAATTTTTCTTCTTAATTTTACATCAAAAACATTCCATAAATGTTTTTTAAATGATAAAATTTGCATAAATGAAAAAAAAATTCTTTTCTTTTTAAAAAAATGTATTGATTTATTTGTTAGGGAGTCTTAGATATTATTTTGTCCCGGGACTCATATGGTTTTAATTTTTAATAAACCCCACTGATGAGACCAAGTCATTTAGTTTTAAAGAAAAAGTAGACTTGAAAAGTTAACATGATTCTAATTGTGTTAGTATATATATCAAATTATAAAAAATGTTGTATTTCCCACTGTTGAGTTTTTTTTTTCTGGAGAAATTATTCTCTATTAAGTTTCCCTTTGAAATAAAGCAGTTTTCAATACTTCGATACTTTCATTATTGGGAAATTTATAACTAATAACTTTTACTTTATTTAGAATGAAAGATGATTTTTTCATTTAAAGTATAGTTAGCAAAAGCTTATAATATATTCATTATATATATATATATATATATATATATATAAGTAGCATCTTGTAAATATCAATTTTCAAAATTAAAAAATTGTCTACGCCTAGAGTAAATAAAATTAATCGAAATGAATTTTGCACAAAAATTCAATTTTGGCCAAATATGCAACACAAAATTTTGCCTAAATATATATAATGGCTTGTTTCATAAATATATCTAATTAAATTTTTGAAAAGAAAATAATCATTTGCATAAAATTCCGGGCCTTATTTATATAGCTTTTTCACCTAGGGCCAATAACGGACATTACTTTTTCATTTAATAGCAATTCCTCGAGTTTTAGCGTCAGGTTTGATAATTAACAATTAATTATTGATGCTTTACTAATGGTGAATCACTTGATTATCATATTAAAGTAAAAAAATAAAAAAGATATATGTTGTACGAATATGAAGGGACAAAAAAGGTGTTTTCTATTTTAGACCAAGAAGAGCCAGTTTACCACCAGATCCTGTTTCACTCTCCAGAAATTGTGGTGGAGAACAACGGGACTCAAGTAGAGGGTAATATTTTATTATGTAAATCTTTTTATTTGCTTATTTATCTTTTTCACTAGGTGATAAGCCAAATACATGTTTTCAAAACAGGAATATATCAAGAATTTTCATCAATAATGGATGTTTTTTTTTTTTATGTTTTCATTTTTAGATTTTATAAGGAAATAATTTCTATTTCTATGATTTTTCAAATTTTCAGGAAAACAGTAAATTTTCAAGAAGAAATTCACGTTAGAATAGAAAAAAAAATATTTCCTAATTGTTAACAATTTTCCCATATTTTCTATGAAATTCTAAATATAGATATTACCTCTTATATAATTTAATTAATTAATTACATTTTATAATGTAATAATTATACTACCTATTGATATGGTTTTTCAAATTTTCAGGGATACAGTAAATTTTAAAGAAGAAATTCGTGTGAGAATAAACATATTTCATTTCCTCCTTATTTGACAATTTTCACATATATTCTAAACTTTCATAAACTTGAATATAGTATATTTTATGTGTTTAAAATTATTCTATTGTTCAATTACATGTCCCATGTGAATTATAGCTTCGTATCATTATTATTTATACAACTCTCTTAATATTTATAAAAAGCAGTTTAATTACAGTAGATTAACGCTAATCCGAACTAATTAAAGGCCAAGGGTGTTTGGATTTGAGATAAGTTCAGATTACTGAACGGGAATGACAATTAAATTCATTAATACAAAGATAAGTTAAAAAAAAAAGATATTATTTATTAAAATCATTTTCAATCAACCTTTACTCAGAAATTTATTTATTTGAAAAAAAGTCTAAAATGTTTGTTTGTTTTCGACCACATACATTCCGTGATGCAGATTCAGATGTTGTAATAAAAGCCATATCGCCAAATTTTACATCTTGTCACTTGGATCTTATTCCGCGGAAGAAATATTTTATTTTTATTTTGTGTCTTTTTATTATGTTCTGGACTTTGCCATCATTAAATTCCCATGTTAATTTCGTTTAGAGCCCTCCAAATGTATTGTTTAAATATTAAGGATAAGCTTTGGTTAATGTCGATAGTTCAAGATTAAATATTCTATACTTCCTTTTCAAAGCGCACATCTGTGATTAAGAAAAAAGAAAAAAATGTATAAAAAGATTTGGGATTTTTAACTATGCCTTTTAAAGTTAACAATGCGTAGGGTTTTAAAATCCGGAATTGTTTATTGGCAGTATGCATATAGTTACATCTAATCAAATCTTCACAAATATTTATTCCTTTTGGGTATTGGCTAGGTTCGGATTAGTGAAAGTCCACTGTACATCCCAATATAGATTAGTCAGCCTGTCTAAGTAATAACTATACAATGATTTAAAAAAAAAAAAAAATATGGAACGCTTGCTTACGTTTCGGCTTTGTTGGTCTTTGTCAGTGCTGCAAGGATAAGTTATAAGGACGGAAATCTCGAATTCAGAAATTAAAAAAAAAAAAATTAAGCAGGAAGAAAGAAGAAAGAAAACAAGAAAGAATTAAGGTAAAAGAAAAAGGAAGAATGAAAAAGAAGGAAGAAAGGAAGTACAAGTAGTATAAAATAAATAAAAAATTGCAGTTTAGATATTATTAAAAGGTTCTAAATCAAAGCTCCAAATGACTAAAAGTAGTCAACGTTTTGCCAATTTATGAAGTGGCAAAAGATTTTTACGGGGGGAGAGGGATGAAAAAATAAGCTGACTTTTTCCGCAGTTTGTTTTTTACCTTCTCCCTCCAAAATGAAGAGAGAATAGAAAAAATGTCTTCTTCACCTTAAATTCAAAGAAAGATATACAAACGCTTCGGCTGGTTATGAATCTGACAGTTACTTGGACCTGTCGGAATTTCTTATTTTACATTCATGTTTTTTTTATTTTAACACACCAATAGTGGATTAATATTTAAAGTAATTCGTACTTACAGACGATAATTCCAGAAATGGAAGAATCTTCTTGTATCTGAAATGCCCCTCAGTATTCCGCGAAACACCAAAGTTGTTTATTTTTTTTTTAATTATAATAATTATTTGTTTTAGCTTTTATTGTGCCTAGTCCACTGGCAAATGAGTACTGCACATTGCAACCTGAACAGGTTGGCACCATCAGTCAAGTTAATACAGGTAACACTGATAATAAATTAATGCTCTTAGTTAACACTAGATATACATAGCTGTATAATATATTTAGAAAATACATTAACTATAAGTTAAAATCTCTTACTGATTATCAATTCACAGATTATTTCATAGCTAAGAACAATATGAACTATTATTGCTTTAAATTAATTAATTTTATCCAAGATATGGATCTCACCTATGTTTATGATTTAGCCATGTTTTCTATACTGAACAAAAATAGATCTATCATTCACCACAAATTTCTTGTAAGTTACAAAGAATTTAAAAGCCTTAGTGTTTACTACTAGTGAAACATATTTTACGTTTGTACATATTTCTTTTCCAAAGCTTTAATTAATTTTGTTTTGTTTTTCAGTTAATGGACGATTTATAATACTTTATTTATTATTTAGATTTATAACTATATTGATTTTTTATTATTCGGACCTCACTTTTTTTTTAGAGGAACAACTAGAAGGAAACAATATAAATATCACTACGGAGAATTTATTTCAAATTAAAATTATGAAAAGAAATTCCAGATAAGAGATATTATGATAAATAAATTGACAAAAAAAAAAAAGAAAAGATTTTTGTGTCATTTGTTATAATATTGTGAAAAAACAAACAACTGTTTATTGGATAGATATTAGTGCTCACACCCTTTTATCTGATCTATTATTACTTTTCGCTTCATGCATAACAAAAAACAATGTTGTTAATCATTTCCGAGCAGTGTGAGGAGCCTTCTTGCAGAACCGAATTCACAATTACCTTTTTTTTTTTCGGTTACCACCAACCTCGCCATTTCTGGCAAATAGGATGGTTGTTCTAGAGGTATAGCCAAACGTACCAGTGGGAAGATCTAGATTCCAGGGCAGTTTAGTCGCTAGATTCGAGAATGTTAAATCTGGTAACGCTGTAACAAGCTCGACCATCTTTTTTTCCTGCTCTTTTTCTTTTCCCAAGTCTTCCTGGACCTTCACCGATGCCTTTTTCCATCAACGTTACAATCTTCATCACTCGATTCTGCTTCCAAAGAGCCATGGACATTCCAGAATTTTCCTCTATCACCGTCTCAGCTGGTCTTACGTTCAGTTTTTTTTATTATTGTGGAGTTTCTCATGCCTTTATTGTGGCCTCTATTTGTTTTGTTTTTTGGACCCTGCGAAGAAATATCCTCTTCATGACCTGAATCTGACTCATGTGCTTTGTAGTTATTGTCCATGACTCGATGGAATATGTCATTATATGGAGGAAGTTTTTGTCTCATGCTCATTTCTTTCTTGATGGCATTGAAGTATTTTCATGGAAACTTCACTCTTTCCTTTCACTTGTTTCAAGTGAATTATTCTGTCTGATCTTCCTTTTTTTCTTCTAATTCTCATAGTTTTAATTTTTCTTCCTCATATATTTGCATATATATCTTATACAATTCTTCTTGAAGGGTGCAGAGGTTGTATTGAAGGTTCGGTTTAATTTTTCTAAAAAGTACCAAATCGCCTGCGAAAGCGAACAAAGAAAAATACATGTAGTCTTAATCCCATTTGATAGGGTCTCAAGTGTGGTTTTTAAGTCATTATTGTGTAAAATAATTCCTAAGCAGCTTATTATGAACAGATATTTAAGAGCTAAAAGAAAACTATTAAATAATAAGAAAAAAAAAAATTCCAAATATTTCTGTTTCGGATTCGGCTGATCTGGATAAGAGGAGGCTTCTAATGTGCATGTAAATGTAAGGCAACCATATACGTTTATATGTGATTCTTCTACAATTTTCAATATTCTTATTATGTTATTATAACTTCAATTAAAATAATTTATTTTATGTATTTAAATTTTGATTTTTAGCTAGAAACGAGGGCTACATGTTCCTCCTTCCTCCAAATGATCCAAACCTCCCTCAACAGCCAGGTCCTTCAGGTATTATAGAACCATTATTATTACATTTCTTGATCTTATATCGATATGGACCTGAAAGATACAATGCTTACTTTGTTTTTTAGCATCCATCGTCATTCGGCATGACCAAACCATCATCGGCCCTCCGAATGTTCGATTCGGGCCCCTCAGATCAAGTATTATTTTTTATTTAATAGCTAATTAGAACTATTTACTAACCTACCCCTAAATGAATTTCGCGGACACGTTTTAGTCAAGCTGATTATCAATTCAATTTAGTATATTAAATACTTCTGAAACTGTCTGACACCATCCATGTGGACTAAAAAGTTCCAAATGTATAATTCCACCTTTAGCTATAATAATTAATCTGTATATATTAATGGAACAATAAGTTTAAATAAATCATAATATGACTGAATTAAACATATAATCATTCATCATATAATAAGTTTTTCATGGTCTAAAATTTTGCCTGAAGCTATGTTTGGCACATTGTTTCAAAAGAAATAAGCAATGAAAGATATCCCTGTGCATGCAAATTAAAATAATATAAATATTAAATTTACACATAAGCTATATTTAGTAAAATAAAAAATATAATCACTTTACATTAATAAATTTTATCGATTTTAGTTCAGGCTGCCCCATCTGATGATGAGAGTGAAAACTCCTCAGGTAATCTGCAGGATGATGAGGTTTCAGGCTCCGGTGAGTTATAAGAATCTCATCCAAAATAACTATCTACTTGCCAATTATAAGATAATAAAGTTAATTGTTATCAAATATTTGTTTTATCTTTCCCAATATCTCACTTTCTAAAGGTCAAATTATTATTATTATTTTTTTTTGAAATGTGGATCTGTATTGAAACATAAAAAATACATCAAATACATGTAGAGAAACTATCTATTGCTAACCGTCCTGTATTAAAATAATCTGAGGCTATCTTGTTTTTTTATTAAAACAGTTTTGATACACCCTAAATTTAACTTGTTTACATCCTCTTTATCACTGACATTCCTGCTCATGCCGAACTTGCAACATTTGCTAATGACGCCAGAATCCTATCATCCAACTCAGATCAATAAATGGCATCCTTAAATCTAAAAAGACACCTGTCCCTGATTGAACACTGGTTTAATAAATGGCACATTAAAGTAAATGAATCCAAATACTATATTTCTATACTCCAAACTATATTTCTACTTACAACATTGAATGACGAAGAGGAGGTTGAAAGTTGATACTTTGACATGCCTTGAGGTGCTGCCAATGGATTTCACCCTAGTTTGGTTTAATTTTTGCCTTCGCTCATCCCCTCTCTTCAGAATTAAAATTTGTTTATTTCTTATTGTTTTGTTTTTTTAGATAATGAAGTCTTTGATTAAATACAATTCATATTTTTGAATATTTCGAGCTTTAACTTAAAATTTCCAATATTTCCTAAATCTATTAACTAGAAAATACAGAGGGCTTAGGTATAAGAAGAAAATTAATAATATTAAAAATAACTTTAATATTATAGTGTTTTTTATTAAAACAGTTGCTGAAGATGTACTCTTTCAAACATCAATTGTGAATAACTAAGTTTGTAAAAAGACAAAGGGATGTGATTTTCCCTTTTCAAAGTTTTAGGAATTTTAAACCAAATCATCCTCCTTCTTATAACTTTGTTTCTAGATAAATTTAATCCTTCAGATAAGAAACATTTTATGATAAATTAAACATTAATTAAACACACATTTTTCATTATAGATTGTTCTGATAAATATTTAATAATATTTATGGAGTATATATATATATATATATATATATATATATATATATATATATATATATATATATAATTAGTAACTAATTAACAAAATTATATTTAAACAATTTTTAAAACTTGTTGTTTAATATTGCATAAGTAGTTGGTGTGCTTCTTTCTTTTTATCTGTTAAAAACTATTATGAGAAATATTTTTTTATATAAGAGATCATTTTAAAATTGATTCCAAATTGTTTAAAATAAAAAAATAAGATCACCCCTGATACCACGGTAATAAACATAAACAAGTTTTTAAGAAAGTAAAAAAATCTTATATATTCAATAAAACCCTCTACTAATACTGTTTAGGTTTCTAAATATTTATTTTTACGAATTGGTGTACCTACAGAAAGATTTTGTTTGTCCAATTACAGATAATTTTGTTTTCCATTAATATCTCATCTTTCCTAAAAGGTTTAAATGTTGATATCAAACACAAACGTCAGAATTTCAATTATTTTTTTTTTGTGAACTGAGATCATTAACATTGCGTATTTTTTATATTTGTTTTAAAAACTTAAAAATCCAAGCAATTTAGCATCGTTGTATGAACATAAAAGTTCTATCAAATTAACTTATTCGTGTTTTTTCCTTCACGATGAATAATTTTCTACATTTTTATATATTATTATTTTTTTTATTTTTACCTTGTAGCCCAGTGACCTTGTCATGAAAAGGGAATTTTTTTCGACCTCAACGCCCCTAAACTGCTACATTTGAGCATTTTATTCGTTTTTTGTCCATTTTGACCATGAAGAAGCACGTTTTAGACAAAAAACATTTCGTACATTTTTAAACTAGATTAAATATTCTACAATTTGATACCAAAATAGGTTCATAAAATCTAATAAGTTTTGAGATTCAGGTTTTTAAAGTTTTGGAAATTTATGTAACTTCAAAATTTTAAGCATACAAATTTTTCACGTTTGATTATATGCAATTGTCTTTATTTCTTCAATAACCTCTATTATTATTATTCAGTGAAATAAATTTTTATTCATATTAACATTTTGAAGGAGGTGGAAGGTTTGATGGAAGAGGGGTAGATTACTTTTCATAACCAGAAGATCGAAATTGAAATAAAAAAGTATTTAACAAACATTTACACCATGTGCATACATAACTTGTTAATGAAGTGAATGGGATTTTCGAAACTTGAAAATGTCAAGTTAATTTTCATCTTTATGTCTTCAATAACCTTATAAGAGTTAGTGAAGTAAACATTTATTTAATTTATTATTATGAAGGACTTGATAAGGAAGATCCAAAATCTTTGAAAATATTACAGGGAACTGATGGAAACATTATTTGGTGGAAGGCAAATATAATAGACAGAGGAAAAGTGTATTACTATAACTATGCCATTAGTGAAAACCGAATTAGGTGGCAGTGGACTGTGGCCTACGCCAATGCCGCTTTTCCGCTGATTAAGTGCATTTTCTAAAGAACCCTTGCAAATATGTTAAAAATTAATGAATGATTTAGAAAGGGAAATGTGTTTTCTGGATTCTTTATCCTAAAGCATTTTTCGTTATTGTTGGCCGTTTAATTACAAATGACACTTGATTTTCAGCATTAATTTGAAAGAATCGACTTTACTTGTATTCTTTATTGCCAAGGCCAATTAGCTTTTAAAAATGTTTGATGTTTTATTATTTTATGACTATCCAGCTTTAATATAAGACCAATTATGACTAAATTAAGCCAACTGCTGAATCTCAGTGACTGAAAAACCAATTCAAATCAAAGGAATCGATCCATCATGATTGGGCGCCATTTTAGGACAGTGCGGCCACATTGTTTTGTAGGAACACTGGCTTTTTTTTTTTTAATAAATAGTTACAAGGAACACAGCGATATGAATTTGATAGGGATGTGAGGGGGGGGAGTGCACAGTAGGGGGGTCTGGCCTACGGACTACACTCGTCCACAAAACCTCACCCCTTCTTCAAAATGTGAAAATGAATAAATGTTTCCATCAGTTTCTTGTTATATTTTCAAAGATTTTGGATCTTATTTATTTACTCCATAAAAATAATAAATTAAATAATTTTTTTACATCGCTAACTCTTATAAGGCAGGTTATTGAAGACATAAAGATGAGAATTAGCTTAACATTTTGAAGTTTCGAAAATTTAATTCACTTGATTTACAATTTTTCTATGCACTTGATGTAAATGTTCGTTAAGTGCTTTTTTATTTCAATTTCGATCTTCTGGTTGTGAAATGTGGTCCCCCCCCCCCTCCTCCCACCAAACCTCCACCTCTCCTTCAAAATGTCAAAATGAATAGACATTTATTTCACTGACTCATATCATAGAGGTTATTAAAGATAAATGACAATTGCATATGATGAAAAATGAAAATAAATAAAAAATCTGTATATCAAAAATTATTTGATTTACCAAACCTTTTATGGTCTCAAATTGTAGAATATTTAATCTAGTTTAAAAATTTATTGTGTGTTTTCTGTCAATAAAGTGCTCCTTCATGGTTTTTGGGATTTTCTTTTATTTATTCCGTCATTCGCGGTTGTGATGAAGATTTTGGATCTTCCTTATTTACTACATCAAAATGTTAAAATGAATAAAAATTTACTTCACTAAATAATAAAAGACAGCTTATTGAAGGTATTAAGACAATCGCGTATGATAAAACATGAAAAATAGCTTAAAATTTTGAAGTTCGACAAATTTCTAAAACTTTGAAAACCTGTATCTCAAAACTTATTAAATTTAAGTAACCTATTTTGGTCTTAAGTTGTAGAATATATAATCTAGTTTAAAAAATGTACGAAATATCTCTTGTCTAAAACCTGATTTTTTCATGGTCAAAAAACGAAAAAAGTGCGCAAATGTAGTAGTTTTGGGGATTTTCAAAAGTGATTCGGGGTGGAGGGAGGGGGCGGAGTACGAGGCCGAAAACTAGGATTTTGCATCTTCGTCATATCCCATACAAGAAAATAAAAATAAACCTTCTACCGCCATTCAATGCAACTTTCGATGTAAAAGATTACTGGGCTATAGATGATCCAAATGAAATTAAGATTGTTCCGAATACACCTGAAGAAGAACAAGGGACACTGAGATATCTACCTCTATAATAATGACAAATTAGCGACCAAACAACATTTTTGAAACCCATTAATGGATATCCCTCAGGATAATTTTTTTTAATATTTTATTTTTTTTGTTGTTTAGTTAAAATTGTTGATGAGGACGCTGAAAAGGCTGCTGACTCAGAAAATGATTTATCAACATTGTCAGGTAATTTGAATTTATTTGAAAACTAAACTAAGCTAGAAAAATGTGAAACAGAAATAACATATTCTGTTAAAAAAAAAATGTTAAAAGACAAATTATAATTGTTTTAATAAGAAATATATGTATTACTTCACTTAGATGCAAGTGAAGCTGGAGATAAATTAGAAGAAGATCCATCAGGAAATGAAGAAGCCATATCAGGTTAGAAGAAAATTGAAAAATCGATATGAATCATAGATTATTATATGAATTAAATAAATCTAATGAATGTTTTTTTCCATTATGTTTATCTATTTATCTTAAATTGCAGCAAATTTGACATCTGAGCAGAAATCAGATGTCGACCAAGAAAAAGAAGAAGACAAAGAAGAAGAAAAAGAAGAAGACAAAGAAGAAGAAAAAGAAGAAGAAGAAAAAGAGGAGTAAACAACTTAGTGTTGATGAAAATTTGATAACATAGCATGATTAGAATTGATAATGTAATGACATATTTGTAATGATAAATATATTTTTATAGCATTCAGTTTTTTAAAATGACAAATGAATTTTAGCAGAAATATGACTGCATAAATGGTTCTGATCATAATTTCAAAAACCAATTCTGGGTTTTTTGTTCAATATCTTATTTAATTCTATAACAATACAGTATAAAATATTTAACTTGGTTTATTAACAACCTTAATAATCTTTAAGGATTACAATGATATTAGATAACAAAACAACAAAATTAATAAGAACAATATAAATAAACGAAAACAAACCTGTAAGGATTAATTAAATTACACGTTATTATTTATGTTTTAAAAAACACAATTTGTAACCAAAATATAACTGTTAAATTCCAGCTGGTATTTACACCACTCCCCCCCCCTCCCCGAAATCACTTTTTCGTAGTGTAAAGTGATAATTTGCTACTGTTAAAATAATTTGATATATTTTTTTTTAATATTGCCGTTTTTATTCATTGTATTGACTGGAGAAATTAAAGATTGTTTTCCAAGCAGCAAATATGCTGGCTCGAATTTAGTGAATGAATGTATTGTTTTGTTATATTCTGACATACAATCTTCTGTTACTCTTGGCCAAGCATGTTTATCGCCGCTATTTATTTTACACCTTATTCTCTTCATTAGAGTTTCTTTTAACCTCTCGTTGAGGCCATTAGGCTCTGGACAATCTACATAAGTGAATATTAAATAAATTTTCATATTCTCCTGCTATGTTTTAAGATTTGTAGAGTTTGAGACCGTATATTGATCTGCCAGTTATATTAGATCTGGATCAGTAAGTTTACTAAAATCTCCAGCACACTGACCTTTCATAGTACATATCTTAGGTGATCGATTTGCTCCGAATCCATCAACGGAATCAATCGACATGATCTTGTAAGTTTCTTTTGCGGGACCTAGCTTAGACATTAAACCGATGGGTGTACTGGTGCGCACTTCATTGTCTATGCAAACAATACAGATTTTACAAAATTGACTTATTAGCGAGTCTGAATTTATAAATAATACATAGGCCTTATTTTATATCTCATTTGAGCTACACCAATGTGGCCATAACAATCATGTACGTGGCAGATAATTTTGATACCAAAGTCAGATGAAACACATATTCTTCCTTTCAATTTCTTGAATATAATGTTATTGTATTTTGAGCGGATTTCAGTTGTTAGTTGTTTTTATTTTGATCATTAATTGTTTCATTTAGTTTACTTGTTTCATTAACTTTACTGCATCAATTACATCTTCATTTTTGAAATATTCCAAAACAGACAGGTCTGCAAAAATATTTTATTTACCTTTTTTTTTTTTATAACTATAAAATTAAATTGAGATAAGCAATGAATCAAATCACCAGATAATTCATCTGTTCATGGTTTGGTTTTAAAATTTTCTAGCGGCTTTTGGTCATTTTATACAATAAATTCTCGCCCAATTAAATAATATTGCCAATAATTTACAGTGCCCCTTATAGCTTTACATTCTAAGAATTTAAAGAGGAGATAAATAATTACAATAAATGGTTACAAGTGTTTGTAAACCAATAAATAATAACGTGTAATTTAATTAATTCTTACAGGTTTGTATTTGTTTCTTTATATTGTTCTTATTAATGTATTTTTTTATCTAATATCATTGTAATTCTGATAGATTAGTAAAATCGGTTATTAATGAATCAAGTTGAATATTTTGTACTAAATTAATGAATTAAATAAGGTATTAAACAAAAAACCTAGAAGTGGTTTGAGAAATTATGATCAGAACCATTTATGCAGTCATATTTCTGCTGAAATTCCTTTGTTATTTTTAAAAACTGAATACTATAAAAATATATTTAAGATAGGAGGGGAGGTGTAAATACCAGCTGGAATGCGACAGCTTTGTTGGTTACAAGTTGTGGTATTTGTTAATGCATAAATAATAACTTGTAATTTAATTAATGCTTACAGGTTTGTTTTTGTTTATTTATGCCTTAACTTCATAACAACCAACCAATCACCACCCTCTTTATAGTTTGATAAAAACATATTGATTATGTACTAGCTGCATTGATTAGTGAACAGACATATTTTTGAAGGATTTGTTTAATTTTTAAAAATGATTATGTTTTTTTATAAAGTACCCAACAAGAAATGAAGTTATATACACCAAAAAGTAAATAAATAAGTAAGCTGTACCTGTTGAACCAGTCATCAGTGTAGCGAGGGTAGGGAAATCTGTCATTGCTGCTGAAGTCATAGCTTGCTTTAGCATTCTGTAAAGAAAAATACTTCCATGTTAAATAACATTATATGTAATTGAAATATATGGCAAAAATTCAATACACAGACACATACATATATTATTATATCAAAATAATATATTTGTCAAAGTTGTGAATAGATACAGTAAATGAATACCCAAAAACATTTTAACCATGTCAGAATTACTCAGGTATAGAAAGACTGTTTATTCTCAATAAGTATAGTAGTAATTAAAAATATTTATGTAATTTAAAATATATATCTTTATATATTGTATTTAAGACTGTAAAATGTAATAGAAATGGACTTGAAAATTTAAAAAAAAAATAACATGGTAATAGCATATTGATACTATGTATGTTTAAAACTAGATATCTAATCCATATTATTATTTGTTCTTCATTTTTAATAATATTCAGTATTCAAGTTTTAATTTTTTTATTAAGATAGTATCAGTAATAGTAGTAGTAGTAGTATGAAGATCTAAAAAATCTTTTTGAAATAATGAACAAGTGTTACCATTAATAGTTTTAGATGTTTGCTTTGTTTAAATGCAACACTTATATATGGTTGATGTGTATTAGAATATTTTCAACATAAGTTGAATAATTACTTTAGAATATATAATTAATGAATTATTGGGCTATATCTGGTTGTTTAAGTTGAAATATATATTTTAAAAAAAATATATTTTAATACATTTTTAAATATTTAAAGTTTATGTTGTTCCATATTTGAATAAAAGTTTTAAAATGCAATGATATTGTTTTTTCATATCCATCTTATTGTTTATTTATTAGTTTGTTAGCCATTAATACTCATGTTAATTGAGAATAAAATTAAATTTTCGTGTATGGGGGCATGTGAATAACTAGGAATCGTTCAACATTAATCTGAGAACCACTAGCGGATCCAGGATTTAATTTTGGGGGGAGGCTTCAGCCCGAAACATTTTTTTTTCATAAAAATAACGATAATTACTTTGGAAAAATAGAAAGAAACTAACTACCTATATGAAATGGTGTTTAAGTTATTCCTTAAGTACTTTTAAATGTAATTACACGAACAATAATACTTTAAGAGGTATTTTTAAATATTTTTTTCCATAAAACATGGTTATATTTTTCCATTTTGGGGGGGGGGGGCTTCAGCCCGAAAGTCCCCCCCGTAGATCCACCCGTGCTGAGAACTGAAATGTATTTTAAAGTTGAAATTTTTGTCAAGGGGTTTTCACATAAAGAATCCCCTATTTATGTAACCTGCAGTTCAATATTCAAATCTTATTTAAATGAGGGGCTATGAATCCAAGAGGTTGTTACGAGACACTAATAATTTGTCGATTTTAACAATGAAAATATTGCTACGGTAGTCTTTGATGAACTGAAACTCCGGAGAAAAAGTAAATAGATGACATTAGCTCTTTGATTCCTTGGGCTTATTGTATAATATAGAAATAAACTTCTGGCTACCCTCAATAATACAATACAACTATTAATAATACAATGGAAACCTGAAAATAATACACCAAAGAGGTATATCAATATATCATATTTAATGCTCATTTAATTGAAGAAGTCCAAAAGGTACAAGTATCAATAACATAATTTTGTGAAAACTTAATTTAAAGTATAAATATTTTGTTTAAATAACTAAAACATTTAAGTTGGCATCAAACCTCATAATCAATTATTTAAACAAGAATTTTATTAATATAAATATACAGTATTCATAAGTGAAATCTTCTTAAGGTGTTTATGTGAGAATTAATGAAAATCCAACCAAACATTTGTGGTTGAATTGCTAAATAATTTTCACATCACTACCTTCAGAATGCTTTTGTTGAAAAGTATTAATTTCAACTCCAACACATCCAATATGTTCTTAAGTCTTCTGGTTCTCCTAAAGCTTAACCATACACCACACCCTCCACTAATATTTTATTGTAAATAATATTCATTCTGGAACCAAGTTCTCGTAGAATAGGAACAATGAACATAAATGAGTGTTTGTCACTAGCGGATCCAGGATTTAATTTTGGGGGGGGCTTCAGCCCGAAAGAATTTTTTTTCATATACATATAACGATAATTAATTAGAAAAAAAGAAAGAAATTAATTACCTATATGAAATGGTGTTTAAGTGGTTCTTGAAGTCTTATTAAATGTAATTAAACGAACAAGAATACTTAAAGAGATAGTTTTTAATATTTTTTTCTGTAAAACATGGTTATATTTTACTATTTTGGTGGGGGGCTTCAGCCCGAAAGCCCCCCCCCCCGTAAATCCGCCTGTGGTGCTTGTTGACTATATATCAGATAGTTTAATGTTGATTAATCGTTTTAAATTTTCTTATGAATATAGGATTGAGATATAAGGAGGTGAATAAATTTTAAGGGACTACAGGCAAGAGGTTTTGTGGGTAGATATAAGAAAGGAATTCCAAGAGGAGGAGGAAGAAAAATGAAAAGGATTTGTCAAAAGAAGTAGTTCTACCTAATGGTATATAAATATCAGGTGGTCCTGGTGGATGTCTGAAGGAACGGAAGATAAGGTGTTCAGAGATAAAGAAAAGTTTTTTGTGTGTGTTTTTTTTTTTTTAAAACACCTGAAATTTGGTGCATTTGTTATATTTTTATTAATGTTAGTTTTTCGTTTTTGTTTGAGAAAGAAAGACAGCTCACAGCTATGGCTTTGAAAAGGGGGAATTTATATTTATCGTTTTTTTTTTTTTGTTGTTCCTGAGGTACAACCAAATCTATTCTAACCAGTATAGGAATCGGTCCACCAGGAAATGATACCACCGCTAGACTCGAGAATGTTAAAGCGGGTAACGTTTCTACAATCTCGGCTACTATGTATTAATTACCTAAAACCGGACTAAACTCTAATAAGGGGTTAAAATCGATTGTTTCTGTTGGCTTCACCTCCTCATGTAGTATCTTATCCCCCGCACTAGCGGATCCAGGATTTATTTTTTGGGGGGGGGGCTTCAGCCCGAAAGTTTTTTTTTTTCATAAAAATAACGATAATTACTTTGGAAAAAAAGAAAGAAACTAACTACCTGTATGAAACGGTGTTTAAGGTATTCCTAAAGCCTTTTTAAATGTAATGACAAGAATAATAATACTTTAAGAGATACATTTTTAATATTTTATTCGGTAAAACATGGTTATATTTTTCCATTTTGGGGGGGGCTTCAGCCCGAAATCCCCCCCCCCGTAGATCCGCCCGTGATCCCGTGATTTATCAGTTTTGGAGTATCTAGGTTTATCTATGACGTTGAAGTTACGTCAATAAACGTGTCACGTCAATTCAAGCCACCTGTTTAAACATCAGTGAATACTGTTTATCACAAAAGTAATGTTGCATAATAAAGCATCATTTCATTAACCCTCTTTGAATACTTGTTTAAAAACATGTAAGATTTTCATTCTATCTGTACCGTGAACCATTAAACAAAACGTCATTAATAGGCATGTATTTTTTTTTGCTATACATTTTATATTGTTCCAGTTTATTTATTATTCCAGGTCATATAATGAAATTTAACAATCCATCATTACTTCAGTTAATATTAAATACGTTAATTGAATAACTTTCTTTTCTTCACATAGGAGCAAACCCAAAATCATACCCAAGTACAATTCTATTTTTATTGGATGAATTGATATTATGGTTTATTATAGGAATTAAGATATGATTTTATCTTTCATTGATTAATACTATATTATGTTTCAATCACGGACAATAATAATGATGAAAGAGCACATCCACGCCAGATTTACAACAGAAAACGTCAAATTGAATAATAAATAGAAATAAGAAAAAAATAAAATAGAAAAGATAAATAATACTTTGAAGATGGATTTTCCTTCCTTCAGTAGGACGGTGAAAAAACATCGGGCATGATATCTGATCAAGTTTTCTTTTACCAAGAGCTGATTCCAAGTTGTATCGCAATTTTTAAAATGGTTCAAGTTTTATTTTTTATTATTTTTTTTTTTACAATTCAATATAAGTACTATATTTATATGTATGGCTGATTAAATAACTTCGAAGTTTCTGGAATTATTGTTTTGTACGATATTTCATATTTTTGTTATTTTTTAATGAATGTTTATACCACTAGTGCAAAAATCTATCTTATGATTCGTTTTCCAACTTCACCTGAATACGGAAAAATGCAAATCGATACTACTCATATCTTTTTAACAATGTTATCAAAACAATACTTGATCTAAACTATAAATGCCATTTTGCCGTATATTGGATGTCGTGTGCTCTATGCCTAACATGGTTTCTCGGATCAACACGTCTACCCAACGTTATTATAAAATTTTTAATATAATATTCTTATTCTTATTTGGATTTCTGACGATTAGATATGTCCGATAGATATGGGAAAATGACATTTATGCTACTGAAAAATTTTTGATTTTAAAATATTTTTAAAAACATTTATTAGAAATTTTAAAATCCTGTTAGAATCATAATATTTTAAGCAATAAGGTGATGAGAGAAATATTGTATGAATTTTTATCTATCATTCTTTTTTTTTTAAGTAAAGCGAAAACAAATGTCTGAAAAAAGATAATTTATATAATTTCCATTATTGTAGCCAGGACAGAGAAAAAAAATCTTTACTAATCCATGATTCCATGATAACTCATTCTTGAATTACTGTGTTGTAAGTTCAGGACACGTCCAAGATTCAGGAAAAAATGTTAGAACGTGATGACCTAGCCAATGCTTTTTATAATCTAAACTTTAAAACATAATTGAATTAATTATTTTAATTTTTTTTATTTAATTAATTCAATAAAACAATTTTTTTTAAATTGAGTTTTCCTTATTAAGTTAATGAGCTCAATAAGAAAAGAAAGATTTAGAAGAGATAGTATTTTTTTTTTTAATTTAAGTTCGTGGTGACTTTTTAGAATGAAAACTTAATCCAAAGCTTATTCTTGAGAAAAATAATTTAGAGAGTTTTAAGAGCATTTTCCTCTTTTGAAAAAAGGAGGATCTTTGGAAATATTTTTAGAGGATCCAAATTCCTTTTTGATAATATTTTTATTTTTATATTTATTTATTGAATAATATAACACTCTGTGACTTGTACAATAGTTAAAGGGAATTAAGATCACATTCATAATATATCTACAAATAAAATAAATAAATAAACTAAAGAAAAATAAACACTAAATAATAATCAAAATGTATAGACATAAAATAAAATAACTTAAAGATAAGTAAATAAAAAACAAACAGACATATACTTGATATTAATTAGAGATCTTACGAAATCCTCTGTTATAAATTGAACATTTATCAAACAGATTCCGATATTTTAAAAATATATATAAATTGAAATAAACGCATCAGACAGTTTAAGTGTTTAAAAATATTTGTCTTTATGTTGGCAGACTAATAATAATAAAAATAATTTCTTGATGATTTGTAATGGGATGTGGTATATCTACCTACCCATGTAACCGATAATCCTTTGATAGAAAAAAAAAGTCACATACTTTGACTGTCTGGCGTGTAGGAAACAAAGCCGCACAACTTATCGTCATCTAATACCACAACGCCGATCATTGAGCTACAGAAATAATCTTTTGGCTTTTATTAACTATTAGTCTTGATTATGAATTAAGTAAGCTTTACTATTTATACGGTAGAGGTTAAAGGAAAAATTAATATTAAAAAATAATTTTAAATATGGTAAGGAAAAAAACAAATTGTTGATTCGCGTCGG